CTTTTCCACCATATCCTTAGCTAGACTTTCCATTTCTGGAACCATTACTTGAACATCAAGTAGTTTCCTACAAAAGAGATCCCAACTTTCTTGTTGGGTTAGGAAACGAAGTTTATGGACAAAACCTCTATCGTCTTCTCTTTCAACGACATCCTCTTTGCGCGTGGTAATAATGACTCTGCTGCCATTCTTGCCATCCGGGAATGCTCTTTTCAAACTCTCCCATGCTTCTATCTGCCATACATCATCAACCACCACAAGGTATTTGTGCTCTTTTAATAGATCACGAAGGTAAATTTCTAGATCTCTTTCTGTTATCCTTTCCAACAAATCTAGAGTTTGCTTAGTGCAACCTTGGATGGATTTTATGATATTCCTAAGGAGATCCATTGTGTTGTACTCTTGAGAAACACATATCCATGCGCGTGTAGGGAAGCTATTGACTATATTAGGACTGTTCTAGAGGTTTCTTGCAAGAGTGGTCTTGCCTAATCCGCCCATGCCAATAAATGGAAACAACACTTCGACGAGTCTCTGCTTTGAGAAGTTCATCTAGCAATGTTTGTACAACATCTTGAAGTCCAACAAAAATGTAATCCTGGTCATCCACATAGGAGATAGTTCTCCTCAATGTTCTAACCATGGCAGACTGATTACTTGGCCCTTCTCCAGCATTACTATTGATATTTGTAATACCATAAGAGTCTCGTTTGCGAGAGATATCCATGATTTGGAACAACTATCCATAATACTAAAGGTATTTTGGATTATGTTCATTAAGATGTTTGGGGTGCTTCCAAAACACCTTTATTAGGTGGGAAACACTATTTTGTAACCTTTGTTGATGACTTTTCCCTAAGATTGTGGTGTATACGATGAAAACAAAGATGAAGTATTGGGAATTTTTCTCAAATGGAAGGCGATGATAGAAACTCAAAGTGGCAAAAAGATCAAGTGTCTTCGCACAGACAATGGTGGAGAATACAAAAATGATCTTTTTCAGAAAATTTGTGAGGAAAATGGCATCGTCAGACATTTCACCGTTAGAAATACACCACAACAGAATGGAGTGGAAGAATGCATGGACCGAACTTTGCTGGAGAAGGTTCGGTGTATGTTGTCCAATGTTGACTTGGGCAAAGAATTTTGGGCTGAGACAATAACATATGCATGTCACCTCATTAATCGTCTACCATCTGCTGCTATTGGTGGGAAGACACCATTAGAAAAATGGTATGGAAAACCTGCTGAAGATTATGGTTCTTTATATGTATTTGGCTCAATTGCATATTATCATGTAAGATCATGGAGTAAATCATGAACCCTACAACAATTGCAAGAGGTAAGCCTCTACAACAATTACTTTCGTCTTGCCCCCTTTTATGCGAAAGTAGTCCGCTCAATACAACAATTGCAAGAGGTAAGCCTCTACACTTTTCGACCATATCCTTAGCTAGACTTTTCATTTCTGGAACCATTGTTCGAACATCAAGTAGTTTCCTACTAAAGAGATCCTAACTTTCTTCTTGGCTTAGGAAACGAAGTTTATGGACAAAACCTCTATTGTCTGCTCTTTCAGCGACATCCTCTTTGTGCGTGGTAATAATGACTCTGCTGCCATTCTTGCCATCCGGGAATGCTCTTTTCAAACTCTCCCATGCTTCTATCTGCCATACATCATCAACCACCACAAGGTATTTGTGCTCTTTTAATAGATAACGAAGGTAAATTTCTAGATCTCTTTCTGTTATCCTTTCCAACAAATCTAGAGTTTCCTTAGTGCAACCTTGGATGGATTTTATGATATTCCTAAGGAGATCCATTGTGTTGTACTCTTGAGAAACACATATCCATGCGCGTGTAGGGAAGCTATTGACTATATTAGGATTGTTGTAGAGGTTTCTTGCAAAAGTGGTCTTGCCTAATCCACCCATGCCAATAAATGGAGACAACACTTCAACGAGTCTCTGCTTTGAGAAGTTCATCTAACAATGTTTGTACAACATCTTGAAGTCGAACAAAAATGTAATCCTGGTCATCCACATAGGAGGCAGTTCTCTTCAATGTTCTAACCATGGCAGACTGATTACTTGGCCCTTCTCCAGCATTACTATTGATATTTGTAATACCATAAGTGTCTCGTTTGCGAGAGATATCCATGATTTGGAACAATTATCCATAATACTAAAGGTATTTTGGATTATGTTCATTCAGATGTTTGGGGTGCTTCCAAAACACATTTATTAGGTAGGAAACACTATTTTGTAACCTTTGTTGATGACTTTTCCCTAAGATTGTGGGTGTATACGATGAAAACAAAAGATGAAGTATTGGGAATTTTTCTCAAATGGAAGGTGATGATAGAAACTCAAAGTGGCAAAAAGATCAAGTGTCTTCGCACAGACAATGGTGGAGAATACAAAAATGATCTTTTTCAGAAAATTTGTGAGGAAAATGGCATCGTCAGACATTTCACCGTTAGAAATACACCACAACAGAATGGAGTGGAAGAATGCATGGACCGAACTTTGCTGGAGAAGGTTCGGTGTATGTTGTCCAATGTTGACTTGGGCAAAGAATTTTGGGCTGAGACAATAACATATGCATGTCACCTCATTAATCGTCTACCATCTGCTGCTATTGGTGGGAAGACACCATTAGAAAAATGGTATGGAAAACCTGCTGAAGATTATGGTTCTTTATATGTATTTGGCTCAATTGCATATTATCATGTAAGGGAGTCAAAATTGGACCCAAGAACAAAGAAAGCTTTATTTATGGGAATTACTTCTGGAGTCGAGGGATATCGTTTATGGTGTCCAGCGACAAGAAAAATTATTTTCAGCAGGGATGTTACCTTTGATGAATCTGCCTTAACAAATAAGGTAACAGTTGAAGAAGTCAAACAAACTGATGGTGCTTCAAAGCAGGTGGAGTTTGAGGGAAATATAATTTTCCCAAAACATGGATCAAATGAGGAAACAACAGAAGTTTTTCCTCTGGAAGAAGAGCCAGTCGAAGGGGAGGTTCCATCTCAAGAACCTCAACCACAACTTGAATCAATAGCAACCAGCAAGCCAAAAAGGACAATAAGAAAACCTGCTCGACTCATAGATGTGGTGGCTTGTGCGGACTCAATTGCAGCGGATGACATTCCTACCACTTATAAAGATGCAGTCCAAAGTTCAGAAGAAGATAAGTGGAGGTTTGCCATAGATGAAGAAATGCAGTCCTTTCATCAGAATCATGCATGGAAATTGGCCAATCTCCCGGATGGCAAGAAAGCAATTGGGTGCAAATGGGTATTTGCAAAGAAAGAAGGATTTCCTAACCAAGAAGATGTTCGCTACAAAGCAAGATTGGTGGCCAAAGGATACACTCAAAAGGAGGGAATTGACTATAATGAGGTATTTTCTCCAATTGTGAAACACTCCTCCATTAGAGTTTTGTTGGCTTTGGTAGCACAGTTGAATTTTGAACTAGTTCAGTTGGATGTAAAAACTGCATTTTTACATGGAGACTTGGAAGAGGAAATCTACATGACTCAGCCAGAAGGATTCAAAGTTGATGGAAAAGAAAATATGGTGTGCAAACTTGAAAAATCGTTGTATGGATTGAAACAATCTTCTAGACAATGGTACAAACGATTTGACAAGTTTATGTTGCAGCAAAGGTACATAAGAAACAAATACGATCATTGTGTGTATTTGCGCAAGCTTGAAGACGATTCCTTTATCTATCTTCTCCTATATGTTGATGATATGTTGATAGCTTCTAAAAGTCAAGAGGAAATTGAGAAGCTAAAGATTCAACTAAAAAAGGAGTTTGAGATGAATGATTTGGGCGAGGCAAAGAGGATTCTTGGAATGGAGATAAAAAGAGATCGTCATTCAAAGAAGCTTTTTTTTATCTCAGAAAGAATATTTGAAGAGGGTACTAAATCGATTTGGCATGAATGAGAAAACGAAGTCGGTTAGCACTCCGCTTGCTCCTCATTTTAAGCTTAGTGATGCTATGTTGCCAAAGAGTGAAGTTGCACGAGAATATATGTCAAAAGTACCATATGCGAATGTTGTTGGTAGCTTGATGTATGCAATGATTTGCACAAGGCCAGATATTTCACACGCTGTTGGAGTTGTAAGCAGGTACATGCATAATCCTGGAAAGGATCATTGGCAGGCTGTAAAATGAATTCTACGGTATATTCATAATACTGTAGATATTGACTTGGTTTATGAGCATAAATATAGTCAATATCTTGTTGGATATTGTGACTCAGATTATGCAGGTGATTTGGACAAACGAAGATCAACTACTGGTTATGTTTTCACTATTGCAAACGCACCAGTTAGTTGGAAGCCTACTTTGCAGTCAAGAGTTGCTTTGTCTACCACTGAGGCAGAGTATATGGCAATTACAGAGGCTGCGAAGGAGGCAATTTGGCTTCAAGGATTGCTTAGAGAGCTTGGTATTGGACAAGAAGGAATCACAATATTTTGTGATAGTCAAAGTTCTATTGAATTAGCAAAGAACCAAGTTTATCATGCAAGGACGAAGCACATTGATGTCCGATATCATTTCATACGAGACATCATAGAAGAAGGTGGAGTCACAGTGTAGAAAATTCATACTACGGATAATCCTGCCGATATGCTGACAAAAGTGGTTACTGCGGTCAAGTTTTAACATTGTTTCTCCCAAGAGTTGTCTTGCCTAATCCGCCCATACCATAAATGGAGATGACGCTTCTGTGAAGCTCTGCTTTGAGAAGTTCAGCTAGCAATGTTTGTACAACTTCCTGAAAGCCAACAAAAATGTGATCCTCATCTACATATGAGGTAGTTCTCCTCAATGTTCTAACCATGTCATACTGATTGTTTGGGGGATTACTTGGCCCTTCTCCTGCATTATTGATATCTCTAATACCATAAGTCTCTCGTTTGTGAGAGATATCCATGATTCGATGCTTTAGTGATTGGATCTCCTTGCTGACATTGTAGAATTTTGTCTCCTTCCTGCAGATGCAAGTGTAAGCCTTCAGACGACTAGCAAATCTAGCGTCGTCACCTTTACTAGCCTCGAAGCTATAAGTCTCGAGTATAGCAACAGCGTCATTAGCAACAGAGTTGATCTCAAACACCCATTGTTGAACTCTTTGATCTACAACTTGCTTTTGCTCTGCATCTTTAAGGAAAGACTGCATGAAGAACAGCTCATTTCGCAGCCACCGCACATCCTGTCTGAGACTTGTACGCAGGGAAGCTTCCTGTATGAGAAAATCCCCCAATTTTTGAACTGCGAATGACACAAAGGCATCAAGCATCTTTAGGACAAAAGACAAATCAAAGTTAGCTGTTAATTGCTGCCAGAAGAAGTTTGACTCAAGAGTTAAGTATATTTTAGTTTACATTTCTTCTCTTTGATTAATTAGTAAAAGAATTATATCAAATGTGGAATAATATTAACAAGTACATTATTAGTACACATTCCCAGAAAATTTAAAATTGGTTTGGTTGTAGTGCACATGATATCTTTATAATTTCTATATAGTCAATATTTGACTTTGCATTAGTCCATCAGAATAGTGATCTCTCTCACACATACACCCCCACCCCCCCTCGCCCGCCCCCATTTTTTTTTTTTTGTAGTGTTTGAATAAATCTGAATGATTAATCTCTATAAGAAAAAAATATTAATATTATTAAGATATCTATTTAAATATTTTCATGAAAATTGGAGGTAGAGTGCATACACTCTACCCTCCTCAGATTCCACTTAGTGAGATTTTACTGGATCTGTTGTTAGTAGTTCAACAATTCCCTCATCCAACCTACTGCCATCGTCCACCATTAATTACATACCACCATTTGGCATCGACAACCATTGTTTATTAAGAATTATAATAAATATTTTAAAGTATAACATATTTATAAAATTTATATAAATATAATATCACTTTGGTTTGATTTTGATATGCTTTTTCTTAAGTTCTGACTAAACTAAATTACTTATGATCGAATTTTTTTTCTTCGATACCAAACCAAATTCTTGATTAAGTTTCTTTTTCTTGATTTGATTCAATCTAATCAAATAAGCACTTCAACTTTGAGAGTGTACATCTAGACATCTCAATTTGGTCTTAATTGACAATTAAACACTTCAATTTGTCCTCATTGTGTCTAATAAACACCTGACGTTGACGTGACACATAAGTTTTGAATTAGGTGCCTAGATGATCATTTTGTAAGTTAGAGTGCTCAATTGATAGTTCGAATATGAGACTCAATAATTAGGATACTTTAGGTGTATCTTTCACCATCAGCTGCTTAATTAATAATAGAATAATATTGATAGTGATGATTCATATAACCGATTGTCAACCCTCAATATTTTTTGGGATTGAGACTTAAGGGTGTGTTTGGTATGGAGGAAATTGTTTTCTTAGAAAATAAGTTGATGAGTGAATTTTTTTTTTTGAGTGTTTGGTTGGTGAATGAAAAACATTTTTCAGAAAAAAAAACTTTTATTTTGGCTAGAGATAAGGAAATACATTTTAGGAAAATAATTTCTAATCTGAAAATCAACTCTAATAACTGATCCAGGACCTGACCTCAACTCCCAACCTAGGACTCGACATTGACCTTGACCCTGATCTTTAACTCGATGATTGTTTCGGGTCTCGATCTCGACACCTAACACGAGATCCAAACCAAGATTTGTCGTAAACACTCGATGTGAAACCTGACCCCGACACTTGACCCAACTTCCAAATCGAGATTTGATCCCAACTCCCTATCAAGGACTTGACTTTCAAATTGGAATTCAACCACAATACCCTACCTCGACAACTGATCCGGGACTCAAATCCACCAACTGACCTGGGACTAGATCTCGACTCTTGACTCAAAACCTAACTTTGACACTCAATTTGGAACCCTACACCGACACCTGACTTGGGAATAAACCCCGACATCCAATCCAAGATTCGACCTCAAATCCTGACCTGGGACTCGACACCCAAATTAGAATTTGACTTAGATCCATCTCCTGAGTCGGGTCTCGAATTGAGGTCGAGAGTCTGGTCCCGAATCAAGAATCAGGAGTCAGATCCCGAATTTGTATCGAGAATAACTCGAGACTTGAGTTAGGGTGAAAAGTTTAGGTGTGAGGTAGAAAAAGAGTTCTGAAAAATGTTTTCCTAATTTTCTGGAGGTAAGTCATTTTCCTTAAATTTGAGGAAAACATGTTGCTTTGGAAAACATTTTTCTTCATACCAAATACGCTGTCAGTTGATTCGAAAACAAGTTATGCTGGAATTAGTTATGTCAGATAAATTTTTATTGCTTCTTTGATTTGTCAATATTCAAAATAATATGCATTGCTTAATTTTTTAAGAATAAGTTGTTTGTCTCCACCTTATTATTATTTTATACATGATATACTAATCTGATGCGCGAGATACACTAATCTGATGCGCGAAAATGAGGGATTTTGGAGATTTGTAAAACTTATAAGGGATAATGGTAATAAGTAAACTAAAAGGTGAAATTTATGTAATTTTTCCTTATATTAGGGAAAATGCATAAGTACCTCCCCAGCCTATGCCCGAAATCCCAGAGACACACCTAACCTTTACTAAGGTCCTATTACCCCCCCCGAACTTATTTTTTAATTAATTTTCTACCCCTTTTGGTCCTATGTGGCACTATTCTTGTGGGCCCAGCATGTGTTGAAAATTAATTAAAAAATAAGTTTGGGGGGGGGGGGGGGTAATAGGACCCCTTAGTAAAGGTTAGGTGTGTTTCTGGGATTTTGGGCTTAGGCTAGGGTGGTACTTATGCATTTTTCCCTTATATTATATATACTTGAAAGGGAAAATATTACATAAAACTATTCAGTTTATTTGGTTGTTTTTTAAAAATCAACATACCAGAGTGATAAAGTTCAATTTGAAATTACAATTTCAGTAGAGAAAACTTGCGTGAATACTCAATTAACGTGTGTTATTTAATCTGTACTAACAATAACTTTGCAGTAACATAAACAACAAAGTTTAAAACAAACATACCGGGATCTGTAACAATAGAATGAAACATACTGGAAAAAATTGAGCCCATTAAATGCATAGTGTTCCTTTAAGAAAATTATTCCCCTCTAGTACCCGAGGTTTAAAGGAATAGATCCTCTCAGGATAGAACGATTCTATTCACCAGTGTATTGATACAAAAATAATATTTAATTGTGCAGAAGAAGAAGAAGTTCAAAATTTTCATTGTTTTAAAATGAGAGGAAATCCCTCTATTTATAGACAACAAAGGGTAGTGTGAACAAATATTTATTGTGGCTTATCGGAAAGGTCACATCTCTTTGGAAAAGTTACAACCCTTCGGAAGGAACACAACCTTTCATAAAAGTCGCAACTCTTCATAAAAGTTGCAACTCTTCATAAAAGTCACATCTTTTCATGTAAGGGGAATGCTAGTTTTGTAAATAAATAAATTAAAAGGGAATCCTGGTTTGTGATGACGCTACATAGGCGGACATAGAGTTCTCTTTTATATATATATATATATATATATATATATATGATTGTATATATGTGTATAAATACCTCTTATGATTTCGTATAATATCGTGTATAAATATTGAATATCAAGTTTTACAATATTTTTGTAAAAAAGAAATATAAAAGTTTTGTATATTATTGTACTAGATGTATATTAATTAAATAATCACAAAATCATTTTTGCATACAATCCCCCCCCCCCCCCCCCCACACACACACACACACAAAAAGAAAAATCTCTTCCAACCAATTCCACACACTAAAAAAAAAAGAAGCCAAAAACCAAAAAAATCCTTATTTTTGCATAGAATCACAAAATCAGTAAAGTGACGGAAACTTGATTGATGCTTGGACAACCCATCTTCATCAACTTGAATGTCTTCATCTCCTGTTTAACAAAAATATTATTATTTATATAAAAAAGAAAAAAATGAAGGATTGGAATGTGTTTGTATATTTACCTTTCCTATAATCATATAAGACTTCGTATATGTTTGAAATGCTTCACGTGTTTCATTCTCTCTGGAATCTCCTTCAGCTTTTGACAATTATAGATAGAAAGATCTTTAATGAGAGGCATGGCATTTGTGCCTAAATGCCATCTTTCTAAGTTGTCAAGACCATAAAGACGAAGGAACTCTAGTTGACTGAAGCTGTAATCACTGCACATTATTTCTTCTCCTTCATAAGCTCTGGACAAGTGGAGATTCCTTAGGTTTGGCAACATTCCCAAAATAGGCATCGGATCTTTTGTCAGTCTTGACTGCCAAATAACTATCATTGTGATGGAATCTGGAAACACAGGCAGTTTCTCTAATCTCCCACCTAACGACAATTTCTGGAGCTTGTCACAACTATTAACAAATTCAAGGGATGGGAATGGATATGTATATTGTTGACCAAACGAAATACACAATCTGAGAGTGTTAAGGTTTTTCAAGCTGCTAATGTTGTTTAGGGAGTAAGATTTCTCAATATTACCCATCTCTAATTCTCGAAGATTGACTAAATCAACTGGGTCAACATCTTTCCACTGATCACAATCAAGGCGAAGAACTTGAAGACTAGTGAGTTTGCTTATACCTGCCAGAGGTATAGAATATGGAACAACTAAATGTCTTAAATTTATTAGGTCAGCTGTTTCGGGGGGTAATTGGCAAAAGCATGTGTCCACATTGACAACAACAAGTGTCTGTAGATTCTTGAGTTTGCCGATGGAGGAGGGAATTTTACTGACACGTCTTAAGCTTAACAACTTGAGGTTGTACAAACTCCCTATGGCATCAGGTATAACTTCACCATAATCAATATCCAAGTACAACACATATATATGTCGGAACACATCTATATGTTGAAACACAATACAAAAATGTGGATCAAAGTACATAATTGACCTCAACTTCGAGTTAGAAAGACCAAGTGATGAGAGGTACCTTTCTCCTTCACTATGAATGGCATGTCTGATACATGAAGTGGATTTCAAGTTCTTTCTTGGATCATAAATGTCAAAGAAGCTTACCTCCAATGCCTTTTGTATCGCAAGATCACGAAGTAAATCATGAACCTTACATTTAGTAACTTTTTCCCAAAATGTATCCACCACTTGAACCAAGCTTCGTCTTATCAGCTCATTCAAGAAGCCTTCAGCGACATCCTCCATTCTTTCTTCTCCTCTTGGTATGATGAAACCCTCTGCCATCCACAACCGCATTATGTTGTCAGCATAGA